ATTTAATTACTTTGGTTATTTGGGGAATAACATCCCCAGCTTTCTTAATTATTACTTCATCTCCAATATTCAAATTTAAATTAGCGATAAAAGCATAATTATGTAACGTTACTTTACCGATTTTGCTGCCTTGTAAAATCACCGGAGTTATCTCTGCTACATAAGTTATGCGACCATTGCGGCTCACTTCCACGTAAATATTCTGGACTTTACTAACCGCCAGCGAAGCCGGAAATTTATAGGCTATGGCTCAACGAGGAAAACGGCTGGTCTGGCCTAATTTTTCATAATGTTTGTAGTCATTAACCTTAACCACCACCCCATCACTTTCAAAATCCAAACTTTCTCGTTTTTTTTCTTGCTGCTGAATAAATTTTTCCACTTCCTCAATGTTTCTGAATAAACTATAATCAGGACTAACCACAAACCCCAATTTTTCTAATTCTTGGAGGCAAGACAATTGGGTCGGAAAATTACTAGTAAATAATTGATAAGCAAAAAAATGTAAATTTCTATTTTGGAGAGGAATTAGGGTGCGTAAACTGCCGGCTGCTGCATTACGAGGATTGGCTAATAATTTATGACCGGATTTTTTTAATTTTTCATTCAGACGCAAAAACTCTTCTTTTTTCATGTAAACTTCCCCGCGCACTTCACAATTAGCAACTTCTTTTAAAAAAAAAGGGACATTTTTTAATAATTCTTTGTTAAAGGTTATATCTTCCCCGATAACTCCATCGCCACGGGTGCTGATTTGACTTAAATGATGATTGCGATAAACCAGACTCACCGATAAACCATCGATTTTTCATTCACAAATATATTCAATTTCTTGGTCAGTTTTCAATATCTTTTTTACTCTTTCATCAAATTTCAGTAAATCCTCATAATTATCCACGCTATCCAGACTTAACATGGGATTTTGGCGGGCCACTGGACGGAATTTGGGGCTGGCAGTCTGGCCGGCTTTTTGGGTTGGAGAATTAGGCAAAATGTAATTGTATTTGGCTTCTAACTCTCGTAATTCTTGTCAATGCTTATCATAAACCGCGTCCTCGACACTGGGTTGATTAAGAATGTAATATTCATAATTTCATTTTTCAATTAAGGAAATCAGTTCCTTAATTCGGGACATTGGCACCTCAATTTTTTTATTCATTAGTGACAAGACTATTTTATAAAAAAGATTTTAAGGAGTAATTACAAAACTGCTAAAAAACTGCTAAAATTAATAATATAAATAAAGCATAAATTTAGTTAAAACTGCTTGGAAAAGATCTTTTCATTAAAATTAATTTACAATAAACCAGGGGAGTTGGTCAATACTCCTCCTAATATCTATTCACTTTCAATAACAAAAATATTGGATTAGATATTAGTAAAAGTGGAAAAAATTGAGTGTATAAGAAAAGCCGGGCAAGCCGTCAGTAACATTTTAAAAAGGTTAAAAAAAGAAATCAAAGTGGGTGTTTCTGGCCAAGATTTAGATAAATTGGCCCAAAAATTAATGAAAGAACAAGAAGTTCAGTCATCCAGCCTCGGTTATAAGGGCTTTTCTGCGTCCATTTGTGTGGCTATTAACCACGAATTGACCCACGGCATACCGGATGAACGAGTTTTTCAAGAGGGTGATTTGGTCTCAATAGACGTAGCCTGTCATTATCAAGGATATCATGCCGATGCGGCTCTGACGACCATCGTCGGGACCGGGGATGAAATCAAAAAAAATCTCCTCAATACCACTAAAAATAGTTTATATTACGTTATTCAAAATATCCAACCAGGACTTACTACTACTCAAGATATTGGTGCTATGCTAGAAAAATACATCCGAACCCGTGGTTATTATCCCATTAAAGAATATGGTGGGCACGGTATTGGGGAAAAACTTCACCAGGAGCCATTTATTCCTAATTATAAAACCTCTAGCAAAGGAGAAATCATTAAAGAAGGAATGTTTATTTGTATTGAACCTCTGGTGCAGATTGGCGATGCCGAAGTAGAGGTTGCTCCAAATAAATGGACGGTTTTTTCCAAAAATGGTCATTTGAACGCTCATTTTGAACACACTGTGTATATTGGTCCTGCTGGGGTCGAGATCATAACTAATTATGAAGAATAGACGTGGATATTTTAAGTTAAACAAAGACAAAAAGCATAGAGAATTTTTTACCGCTCAAGGCGAAGTAATTGAATTAATAAATAAAAAAAAATTTCGGGTTGCGTGCGTTAATGGCAAAATAATTGAGGCAGATATGCCAGCCCGATTTCGGACTAAACAAGGACGCCGCCGGGCTGCAATTGTGGTCGGAGATAGAGTGAAAGTGGAAATAATTTTAGGCGATTTAAGCAAAGGACAAATCGTTTCTTTGATAGAGGAAGATATTAAAAAAGAATAAACGTCTATTTGCTAGGGCTAAAAACAAAATACGAAAACTGCTAAAATACTAATATATACAATTTAGATTTTTACAATGAAAAAAAAAAATAATCAGATAAAAATTACTGTTTACGGTTATGATGTGGAAACCACGGAAGAAGCAACTCGTTTGATGACAGAAAAAATTTCGCAATTGAAATTAAATTTTAGCGGTCCGATTCCTTTCCCTCTTAAAGGCAAATGAAAGAAAATCGTTACGGTACTGATTTCCCCTCATAAGCACAAGGATGCACAGGAACAATTTGCTAAGGAAACTCATCGCCGGATAATTTATGTCTCTGACATTTCCTCCTCTGCTTTGGAAGCCTTAGAAAAAGTTAAAATACCTAACACTGCCCATCTGAAATTAGAAACTTCGCTTTAATTTTTCGTCTTGGCTCAATAAGTGCGAATTAATTTAGTAGGAATGTAATAGGTTTTACTTCCGATCTGAAACTTTTGCCGATTAGTAGCAAATTTTCTTTTTGTGGCTCGCATAGAAAAAGAACGATTGTTCCCGGCTAATGGCTTACTTTTTTTGCTTAATAATTTCAAAAATTCTGACTTTTTCATATGAACTTTTTACAATGAATAAGAGATGGTTATGGATACTTGATCCTTCTTTTCACTCTTTTCCTTATAATACTATTTTTAGTATTTTTTACTTACCTCAAAAGAGCCTACTGGGGTCGATTAGAAGTGGGAAAGTTACTTCGCAGCCAAAAAAAGCGGGAAGAACAACTCAAAATTAAAGAAAAAAAGTTACAAACCGCCATTAAGCAATTGCTCGGCAAACGTGAAAAATTACAACAAGAAGAAAAAAGAATAAACGAATTTACTAAGCAATTATTCCGGAAAGAGGAACTGTTTACTCAACAATTAGCATTAAGTTCTCACAAAGAAAAAACTATCCGCGAGGAAATGGAAAAGGTTAAGGAAATAAGAGAGAGAGCAATAGGGCATTTAGAAAAAATAATTCCGTTAAGCAAAGAGGAAGCTAAAAAAGATCTCTTAATTTTGTTAAGAGCCGAAGTGGATCGCGAATTAGAGTGATACAAGGAAGAAAAAATTAGGCAGAGCGAAAGGATAGCCAAAGAAGAGAGCGCGAAAATTATTTGTCAAGCCCTAGAAAAATGTAGTTCAGAGTTGGTTTTAACCAAAACTACCGACGCTTTACGAGTAGAAAGCCCCCAAATAATCAGCAAAATCATCGGTAAGGATGGGCGAAATATCAATGCCTTTCATCGCATTACTGGCACTGAGTTGATTATTGACAAAGAAAGTGACGAATTGACTATTCAAATTTCCTCTTTTAACTCTTTGCGTCGGGCTATCGGCTTGCAAACCCTCCGCAATCTAATTAAAGAGGTCAAATTCTCCCCTCTCCACATTGAAAAAATTTACCAAGAAGTAAGTACTAAAATCGATGAACTCATTATCAAAACCGGAAACGAGGTTGTGGAAGAATTGGGATTGAGTGATGTTCACCCTGAAATAATTAAGCATTTAGGTAAATTAAAATATCGCACCAGTTATGGTCAGAATGTGCTGGAACATTGTCTGGAAGTAGCCAAATTAGCCGGCAGTATTGCGGCAGAATTAGATTTGGACGTTCTTTTAGCTCGACGGGCTGGACTTTTCCACGATATCGGCAAAGCAGTGGAGGACGGCGGTAATTATTCACACGTCCGTAGTGGCATCAGTTTAGCCAAAAAGTTTCAGGAACCGGAGATAGTTATTAATGCCATTGCTTCTCATCACCGGGACTTTCCCCCTACTAATCTCTATTCTTTAATCGTTTTAGCCGCAGATAAGTTGTCCGCAGCTCGTCCAGGTGTTCGGGGTTATCAGTCCGAGGCTTACATCGAGCGGATGAATAGTTTAGAAAATATTGCTAATAATTTTCCGGGCATCAAAAAAAGTTATGCTTTTCAGGCTGGTCGCGAAGTATGAGTATTTGTGGATGCCGAAAAATTAAATGACCATAAAACTTGGGAAATAGCTCGTAAAATTAGAGAAAAAATTAAAAAAGATATCGCTATTCCAGGGGAAGTAACTATTCAAGTAGTGCGAGAAAAAAGGTTTACGCAAAGATTACACCATCGTCCAGAACCGATCAAAATCAAATCCCGTTCGAAAAAATAATTTGCTAGGAAAAGAAAGGCAAACTGGGGCAAATAAGAAAAAGTAACTATTTTAAGGTTTTTGACTACCAAATTGCCAAAATATATTTAGAGGCGGAGTTGTATTCTTTCGAATGACCAGTAATGTCCATAATGAAGAATTATCATGGTAATCTCAAAAAAAACTCTCTACTTAAGAACATTAACATACTAATAAACACTATAAAATTAATAAATATATAACATTGTATGGCAGAAGCGAAAACAGGAAAAAAAGAAGTATACGAAAGTTCAAAGCCTCATGTAAATATTGCGACTTTAGGACATGTCGATCATGGCAAAACGACTTTGACATCAGTAATTACCCATGTTCAATCCAAGAAAAATAAGGCCAAGTCTCGGAGATATGAAGAG